GACATCATAGAGTCCGAACAAGCAGACATCATAGAGTCAGAACAAGCAGACATCATAGAGTCAGAACAAGCAGACATCATAGAGTCAGAACAAGCAGACATCATAGAGTCAGAACAAGCAGACATCATAGAGTCAGAACAAGCAGACATCATAGAGTCAGAACAAGCAGACATCATAGAGTCAGAACAAGCAGACATCATAGAGTCAGAACAAGCAGACATCATAGAGTCAGAACAAGCAGACATCATAGAGTCAGAACAAGCAGACATCATAGAGTCAGAACAAGCAGACATCATAGAGTCAGAACAAGCAGACATCATAGAGTCAGAAACAAGCAGACATCATAGAGTCAGAACAAGCAGACATCATAGAGTCAGAACAAGCAGACATCATAGAGTCAGAACAAGCAGACATCATAGAGTCAGAACAAGCAGACATCATAGAGTCAGAACAAGCAGACATCATAGAGTCAGAACAAGCAGACATCATAGAGTCAGAACAAGCAGACATCATAGAGTCAGAACAAGCAGACATCATAGAGTCAGAACAAGCAGACATCATAGAGTCAGAACAAGCAGACATCATAGAGTCAGAACAAGCAGACATCATAGAGTCAGAACAAGCAGACATCATAGAGTCAGAACAAGCAGACATCATAGAGTCAGAACAAGCAGACATCATAGAGTCAGAACAAGCAGACATCATAGAGTCAGAACAAGCAGACATCATAGTCAGAACAAGCGGACATCATAGAGTCAGAACAAGCGGACATCATAGAGTCAGAACAAGCGGACATCATAGAGTCAGAACAAGCGGACATCATAGAGTCAGAACAAGCGGACATCATAGAGTCAGAACAAGCAGACATCATAGAGTCAGAACAAGCAGACATCATAGAGTCAGAACAAGCAGACATCATAGAGTCAGAACAAGCAGACATCATAGAGTCAGTACAAGCAGACATCATAGAGTCAGAACAAGCAGACATCATAGAGTCCGAACAAGCAGACATCATAGAGTCCGAACAAGCAGACATCATAGAGTCCGAACAAGCAGACATCATAGAGTCCGAACAAGCAGACATCATAGAGTCAGAACAAGCAGACATCATAGAGTCAGAACAAGCAGACATCATAGAGTCAGAACAAGCAGACATCATAGAGTCAGAACAAGCAGACATCATAGAGTCAGAACAAGCAGACATCATAGAGTCAGAACAAGCAGACATCATAGAGTCAGAACAAGCAGACATCATAGAGTCAGAACAAGCAGACATCATAGAGTCAGAACAAGCAGACATCATAGAGTCAGAACAAGCAGACATCATAGAGTCAGAACAAGCAGACATCATAGAGTCAGAACAAGCAGACATCATAGAGTCAGAACAAGCAGACATCATAGAGTCAGAACAAGCAGACATCATAGAGTCAGAACAAGCAGACATCATAGAGTCAGAACAAGCAGACATCATAGAGTCAGAACAAGCAGACATCATAGAGTCAGAACAAGCAGACATCATAGAGTCAGAACAAGCAGACATCATAGAGTCAGAACAAGCAGACATCATAGAGTCAGAACAAGCAGACATCATAGAGTCAGAACAAGCAGACATCATAGAGTCAGAACAAGCAGACATCATAGAGTCAGAACAAGCAGACATCATAGAGTCAGAACAAGCAGACATCATAGAGTCAGAACAAGCAGACATCATAGTCAGAACAAGCAGACATAGTAGCAGTCCCATTATCGTCCTGCTCACGTGTTATATGCAGTTTATTATCTGGTGTCATGTTAGTTGCTGCCAGGAGAGGGCGCACTTGTCCTGTGTGCACTCAGTGAGGAGACCATAAGCTGCATGTTACTGACACTATTAATCTGTAATAAGAAGTTTAGGCAGAAATAACAAAAGACGAAGCATGAGATAATTCCTCCCACTGTTCACAGCCAACAAGGTCAGTTCTGGACCTGTGATTTCTGTTTAGGTCTAATCGAGAAGAAACGACTAAAGGCAAGTTTGTTTGTATAGCACAATTCATACACACTCTGGGCACTAACAGGAGTCCAGTCCCTGTGCTCCTCAGAGTCCGGGCTGGTTCATATGGTACTAACATGTCACCAATATATTTTGGTGCGAGGCCATGGAGAGACTTGTAACAAGCAGAGCTGTTTTAAAGTCTATTCTCTGAGCCACAAGAAGCCAGTGCAGAGACCTGAGAACTGGACTAATGTGGTCGTACTTCCTGGTTCTAGTCAGGACTCGAGCTGCTTCATTTTGGATACTGCAGCTGTTTTACAGCCTGTTTGGACAGATCTGTGAGCAGGCCATTGCAGTAGTCTAACCTACTGGAGACAAATGCATGGATAAGTATATCCAAGTCTGCTTTAGACATAGGGGTGGGCGACATGGCCTAAAATTCATATTGCGGTATAATTTGGGACACAGACGGTAGACGGTATTTTTGGTGTGTGAATTTCAATGGGTCTTGCAGGTTCTTGCATAAAATAGTCAAGAATGTTACTTATTAATATATTAATCTAATTTTTTTATTTATTTTTTTGAGTTTGAAAATCAGGTGTGTCCAGTCTCCACAAACAAAATCACCAATATTTCATCCAGTATTTAATACATTTTTCGCATGTAATATTATTCCATAGTAAAGAGACACCATGCTTTTGAAATGCAGATTGAACTGAAGACCCCGTGGTTAGTGGGTTGGGCCAACATGAGAACAGAAAAATAAGGGACACCATTTGGGTGGATCAGGTTGAGCACTTTTTAGTCCTAATTTCAATCTACACTAGGGATGTAAATCGGTGACCGTTTAACCGGTGGTTGACCGTCACAGCGTTAACCGGTCAAAGCTGTCGGTTAAAAAAGAGAAAAAGGGGAGGTCTGTTCATAACGCTATTTTAAGCCCTATTCGCACGATGTGACGAGCGGGTCCGTATCTAGCTGTGTGCGCCAATGTATCAGTAAACTCCGGGCCGCGAGTATTTTATTCGTAGGTAGGTTATGCCACAGGGACCAATTTCAGCCAATCAGAAAGCTAGTCTGAAGTGACTCGGTACGGTGGCTGAGTGGATAGCACTCTCGCCTCTCAGCAAGAAGGTCCTGGGTTCGAATCCCGGTCGGACCAGGGCCTTTCTGAGTGGAGTTTGCATGTTCTCCCCGTGTCTGCGTAGGTTTCCTCCGGGTACTCCGGTTTCCCCTACCACTAAAAATATGTCCAATAGTTCTGGCATGCACCTCCTGTACTGGCCCTGCTCCCATCTCTGTGTGGAGGGAGAGACAAATGCCCAAAAATTAACAATTGTAAACCGCTTTGAGACTCAGATCTGCAGTGAAAAGGCGGTATATAAATAAAAACTTACTTACTTACTTACTTACTCGTTCAGCGCGCTGGCAGATGACTGTGAATTACATTACAACCTAAAAATAAACCATTTATCAATTTACATCCGAATTGTACTTACTGTATTACATATACCATGTATATAATTTACAATAATAATTACAATGTTGAATGTGTCAGTTCAGTTTTCATTTAACAAGACACAAACATTTTGTTTCAGATTAAAAGTACATCAGCTGTTTTTTAAAATAAACAAAAAATACACTAAAATTGACAAGATAATTGTCAAACACAGTGTCAGTTGTTCAAAATCACAACAAACCAGAGCCAAAAGCGTATAAGTTGTTTACAAAAATATACACAAAGTAGACCAAAACCACTACTGCTGACTGATTTTTTTTTTGACACTTTCAGATAGGTTATGGGGAGCAGCAAACTTCTGTTTTGGTGGGAGCAGTCCACATTTCAGATCCACTGTAGCTTTTCTTTTGAGAGCTGCCTTTGTATAGCCATGCTCTACTACAAAGGATCGTTTTGTCGGCCTTCCACTAGTTACACACCTCCAAGTGCAGCCTTCTTTCTGCGAGCTACAGCAGTTGCTGCACACCTATATGCTTTAAACCCGCCAACCGTGATTTGTGTTTGTGATTAATGACACTGGCAGCACCAGAATATTTGCCAAATGTATGTAATGCTGAAATAAGCGCAGAGTCTGTTCTCAGGTTTTGTGAGCTGACAAGAAAGTCTTTGACTGCAGGTAGAAAAGTTACTGGATCATTTTTTACTTTGTTCATCAACAAGTCGCTGAATGCCCTCAAATTGTCATTGACTTGTTGAACCTCCGAGTCAGAATCAAGGATGTGACTTTCCACTGTGGCATCCCTTGCATGTATGGCTGCTGGTGTAGTGACTGGAGGATTTTCTAGTGGTATAACATCACTCTCAGTACCGAGAGAGTCACCCTGCTGCTCTTCATTCAGGGGGACACTCTGTGTCAATAAGGAAAACCACTCTAATGAGACATTGTCTTTTCCTGTTGCAATTTTGTAGAACACAAGCCTACGTTCAGGTGAATTAACTGGTATCATGTTCAGAATTTCCACCTTGAACCGCTTCACAACTGCTGCCTGGTGTTTGCAGGGGCCACCGTTCATCCCCACATGGCATCAACACAGTAATATTTGTCCTTTTCCCTCTCACTGGGCACACTATACAACTTCGGGGAAATTTGGCTGATACTATCAAAGTTGATAGTCTTGCAATCGGGTAAGTATTTCGAATGTCTTGTCATGTCCATTCTGTTATTGGCCACTCCAATCAGACGCCGTGCCATTCTGGTCATGATAAAGTCCACCAGTTGAAGTGTGTTAAATGCTTTCATCCGAAAGAGGACTTTCTCTTTTAGTACTCTCACAGCAGCCTCACAGCAGCCTCACAGTAGTTGTTGGTATGATTCCCTCGAGTAGGCATGTTTTCTCTGTAACAAATGGCCCACAAATTCATAGAGATGAGCCACACAAGTCGCGCCCCACTTACTTGTCTGACGTTCCGGATTACTTGCTTCGAGTGAAAGCCTTGCTACCCAAGAAACGCAGGCGTCGGGGAGTGCGCAGTGGTAAGCTAGTCAGGTTGAAATCCTGGCTAGCCTTATCTCCGGAGTTGATCTGGTGCCCAGCGAGTGTTCCCCGGGACTACGATGAGTGTCTTCGTCGCCTCATCGCTCGACGTCAGCTGGCTCCTATCGCTCCAGCTTGGCTGCAGCCAGTGATCGGTGAGCGGGGAGTGTCTGCGGCTCTTCGCCCTCGCCGATGTCGCCTTCAGGAGCTCCACAATCTTCGCACGCTGAATCACGTCTCTTCTGCTGCTAAAGTGCCCCAAACTTCTCTGAAATGTGCACTTCTGAACGCAAGATCCGCAAGAAATAAGACTTTTATTCTACGGGACCTCATCTTTTCGCACTCGTTGGATTTATTCTTTCTGACGGAGACCTGGATAAGTGCGGGTGAGTTGGCTGCCTTTACTGAACTTGTACCTCCGGACTGTGTTTTCATAAATACGCCGAGGCACAGTGGTCGAGGAGGTGGTGTTGCGTCGATATTGAAAAACAACTTGTGCTACAAGCCTCTGCCAGCTATGTCCTTTACTTCATTTGAAGTTAGTTGCTTTGAATTGGGACAGAATGAACCCGTTTTCTGCGCGCTGGTTTACAGACCGCCAAAGTACAATAAGAACTTCATCAATGACTTTTCTGAGTTTATGTCTCCAGTGTTGATGGACTATGACAAGTTTTTAATTGTTGGAGACTTCAATCTACACGTCTGTTGTTCAGCTACTCCTTTGGTGAAGGACTTTTTAGATTTGGTTGAAGGTTTTAATTTAGTGCAACACGTTACTAGACCCACACAGATACGTGGCCATACTTTGGACTTGGTTTTGTCTTGCAATCTGTCTGTTTACAATTTACAAGTTGGAGATGCTATTATTTCTGATCATTGTCCTGTTTTATTTGAATTCACAATGAATGATTGCGTTAAGCCGCCCTGTCCTGTGCGCTATTGTCGCACTCTTCGGCCAGACTCGGCAGCATCTTTTTCCTCTCTTTTTTTAGCTAGCGCCCAACCTGAAATAAGTGCTGTGTCTGTGTGCCAGGATACTGAGAAAATGACTAATTCATTTATTGTTGTATGCACAGAAATTCTTGACTCTGTAGCTCCACACAAAGCTCGGCGCCCCAGAGCCAAGCCTGTACCATGGCTCAACGACAGTACGCGTGAGGCCAGACGTATATGTCGGCAGGCAGAGAGGAAGTGGAAAAAGGATCGGCTACAGGTGTCATATGAAATCTTAGTTGGCAGCTGGAAAACTTATCAAAAAATGGTCAGACTGCAGAAAATCAAATATTTCTCTGATGTTGTCCAAAGAAATGCAAATAATCCACGTGTTTTATTTCAAACCATTGGGTCTGTTTTAAACCCGCCCCAATCTACTTTTGTCCAATCTAGCACTCAAAGTTGTGAAGATTTTTTGTCTTTTTTCACAAACAAGGTTGCGCTTATTCGTTCAAGCATATTGCCCCCTTCTATTGACTTCTGCATAAATCAGCCCTGCTCAGCGGTTTTTACACGGTTTGAGCCAATGTCTTTGCAGTCTCTAACAAAAATTGTCAGTCAAATAAAACCCTCATCTTGTCCTACAGACCCGGTCCCTCCGAGGTTGTTCAAAGATGTGTGGGAAACAATTGGTGCTTGTGTTTGTGAAATTGTGAACAGTAGCCTTGTTTCAGGAGTTGTCCCTTCCTTTTGTAAACAGGCTGTAATTGAACCACTTCTCAAGAAATCGAGCCTTGATACCTCCATTGTATCCATTTCCAAACTTCCTTTTTTATCTAAACTGTTGGAAAAAAGTGTGCTCTGTCAATTACAGCCCTTTCTTGATGCACATGGTGTGTCAGACATGTTCCAGTCAGGTTTTAAAAGTTTGCATAGCACTGAATCTGCACTTTTAAAGGTTTTTAATGACCTGTTTTTAGTGACTGACTCAGGTAGATCTGCCATTTTAGTGCTTTTAGACCTGACTGCTGCTTTTGACACAATTGACCACACAATTATTTTAGACCGACTCCGAGACAGTGTGGGTGTCAGGGGGACTGCTTTAGACTGGTTCAGGTCATACCTCAGTGGGAGGTCTTTCTCCGTTAGGCTTGGGGACTCCACCTCATCCTCTGCCTTCCTGCGCTGTGGAGTTCCCCAGGGTTCAATTCTTGGCCCAATTCTGTTTGCCCTTTATCTCCTCCCACTGAGTCAAATCTTTAAGAGGCACAGCATCTCATACCATTTTTATGCAGATGACTGTCAAATTTACTTGCCTCTTTCCAAGACAGCTAAAGGCCCCCTGACACCCTTGCTTGCCTGCCTGAGTGACGTCAAGGCTTGGTTGGCCCAAAATTTCCTAAGTCTTAATGAGGGGAAAACTGAAATTGTTATTTTTGGGCCCACTGACCCCTTAATGGACTTGGGCCCCTTTAAAGACAACGTTCTCCCCTCTGCCACCAACCTTGGCGTCACCATGGACAGTGATTTTAATTTTACTAAACAGATTAATACAGTCGTCAAGTCAGGCTTTTACCATCTTCGCCTTTTATCTAAAGTCAAACCGTTTTTATCTTTTTAAACATTTTGAACAAGTCGTGCATGCTTTTATTTCGTCACGCCTGGACTACTGTAATGCTCTTTATACAGGCATTACCCAAAATGCACTCTCACGCTTACAGTTAGTCCAGAACTCCGCTGCACGACTTATTACTGGAGCTAAAAAGCGTGACCATATTTCACCAATCCTCGCATCCTTGCACTGGCTTCCAGTCAAATTTAGAATTGATTTTAAGGTTTTGTTGTTTGTTTTTTAAAGCGTTAAACGGACTGGCCCCTCAGTACGTCACAGACCTCATTGAAGTCTACGCCCCAACGCGCGCTCTGAGGTCTGAGGGCCAGCTCCAGCTCGTGGTTCCTAAGACGAAACGTAAAACTCGAGGGGACAGAGCGTTCTCCGTCATCGGCCCTAAGCTGTGGAACGCTCTGCCCCTCCACGTCCGAACAGCCACAACATTGGAGTGTTTTAAATCTCGTCTTAAAACCCACTTTTATTCTCTAGCTTTTAACACCGCGTGAGTTGTGTGGTCCCTGTGTCTTTTTAATTTTTGTTTTGTGTTTTATGATTTTTATTGATTTTATAAATTGACTATTTATTTATTTTTTATTCTATTTTTTGTGTACTTTTTTGTGCAGCACTTTGGAACTGTTCTGTTGTTTAAATGTGCTATAGAAATAAAGTGGATTGGATTGGATTGAAATTCCTACGGTCATAAGATTTTTTAACATATGCCAAGTAGGACGGATAGGCACAAGCCAGTTCATCAGTCAGTATGGCCTGAATCTTGGACTCCAGTGAGGCTTTCGTGTCTGCAGACATCATATATTTTATATGTGAAAACAACTGCTGCCTATGTTTCAGTGGTACCTGGCTTTTAGCATCCCAGAGCCATCGCCAGGCTGCTTGTAGAACATGGGAAACACACAAAAGCAAATTTGACTCTGGAAAAGCCTCCTGCAGAGCACCTCGTTCAGCATCACTGTCATCAGTCATGAAAACTTGTGGGCCCAAGCAACCTCTCCCATAAAAAGCGCCATCAGACAGAAAAGACTTGTACAAGTCCAGAGCCGCTTTGATGGTGTTTTGGGATTCAGTTGTTGTGATTAGACAACCAATTGGAAGACCACCACAACAACTATGAGTCATCAATAAAAACACACTAAGATTATGACGATCCATATTTCCAGAAGAGTCCATAAAAATCATTTCACCGCTCTGCTCTACCATTTGAAGGACCCTTTTCATGCACATGGCGACGGTCAACTGGTTGTCACCTGTACCATTCATCTTTATCACAGTCTCCCCATGCTCCAAATTGAGGGGCTCAATTAACGATTCCAAGTTCTCCAACATGTTCACATCGCAACCACCATATGCTTTTTGAGCAGTTGAGAAGTAAAGCCTGCAATTAGACAAGCGTTCATTGAAATTTACATTGTCCAGTGTTAAATACATGTGGGCTGAATTATTTCCTTTAATCACTGTCTTACCTATAACACCATTGAAGGTCTGGTATTTTAGCTCTGTCAGCACTGTTGAAAACAAAGTCATCTTGATCTTCAGTCTGCATGTCATACTTGTGAATCTCAAGTGCTGATGAAGGAGAATGGCCTGCTTCGAACAACTTCAACATTTCTCTTTCACTTCATCAGAAACATGATTGTGAACATATCGCATATTCACAATCATTGGGAATTCTGGTAGATGAGCATTAGTTGAATTGACCATTTGAAAATAAAATGTTAATACCAAAACAATTATTAATTGAACAAAATGTCCAAATAATGTATATGTAGCTGCAATGGGTTTTTAATATAATCTGATCTAAACAACCAATCAATTATCAAAATAATAGTTCATTACAGCCATGCTGTCAGTTACCTTTGTTTGACAGCGCAGGTCTTCCTAAACCATAAAAACAAAATATTTAAAACTTTTAGGCAGTAAAAAACCCAATGAACAATGTCATTCTCTAGAAATGAAAAAGAATGAATTGTGAATACTGAATGAATAGAATGGAAATAGCCAATTCCAAACGTATTCTTTTCATACTCACACATATGTAATGTTACTTATATATATATACTATATAAATACTTATTCGTAGGACTAATGAACACTGCCAACTTAATCCCACGTGTCATGCATTCTTGAAATATCCTTAACATTTATCAGAATGTGCAATAGCCACATGTCACAGTCACTTTACTGTGTCCCAGAGCCTCATGTCTCAGATGCTAACAGCTTTGTGTGAACATATCAACTGTGGGAGCAATTATCAGAAAATGGAAGACATACAAGACCACTGATTTATCTCCCTCGATCTGGGGCTCCATGCAAGATCTCATCCCGTGGGGTCAAAATGATCATGAGAACGGTGATCAGAAATCCCAGAACCACACGGGGGGACCTGGTGAATGACCTGCAGAGAGCTGGGACCAAAGTAACAAAGGTTACCATCAGTAACACACTACGACGACAGGGAATCAAATCCTGCAGTGCCAGACGTGTCCCCCTGCTGAAGCCAGTGCATGTCCAGGCCCGTCTGAAGTTTGCCAGAGAGCACATGGATGATACAGCAGAGGATTGGGAGAATGTCATGTGGTCAGATGAAACCAATGTAGAACTGTTTGGTATAAACTCAAATCTTCGTGTTTGGAGGAAGAAGAATACGGAGTTGCATCCCAAGAACACCATACCTACTGTGAAGCATGGGGGTGGAAACGTCATGCTTTGGGGCTGTTTTTCTGCTAAGGGGACAGGACGACTTATCCGTGTTAAGGAAAGAATTAATGGGGCCATGTATCGTGAGATTTTGAGACAAAACCTTCCATTAGTGAGAGCTTTGAAGATGAAACATGGCATGGCGCCGTGGCAAGAGCTCTGGTGTGTGTCTGGTGCACACTGGGGTAGTCTTGCACAGTTTTTCCTATGTGGTTTTACTGCAAATGGCAAATAAATGAATCTGAATCTGAATCTGAATCTGAAACGTGGCTGGGTCTTCCAGCATGACAATGAGCCCAAACACACCGCCCGGGCAACAAAGGAGTGGCTCCGTAAGAAGCATTTGAAAGTCCTGGAGTGGCCTAGCCAGTCTCCAGACCTCAACCCCATTGAAAATCTGTGGAGGGAGTTGAAAGTCCGTGTTCACTGCTCTCGAGAAGATCTGCATGGAGGAATGGGCAAAAATACCAGCTACTGTGTGTTCAAAGCTGGTAAAGACCTATAGTAATCGTTTGACCTCTGTTATTGCCAACAAAGGTTATATTACAAAGTATTGAGTTGAATTTTTGTTATTGACCAAATACTTATTTTCCACCATGATTTACAAATAAATTCTTTAAAAATCCTACAATGTGAATTCCTGGATTTTTTTTCTCATTCTGTGTCTCACAGTTGAAGTGCACCTATGATGAAAATTACAGACCTCTGTCATTATTTTAAGTGGGAGATACATACACGTTCACATTACACTTACATAAACACCTGCGAATGAGACGCGGTTATACCATATACTGTAAATATTAATGTTATATTTTTATTTTGTTTTATTTGTTTTATTGTTTTTATTTATTTATTCTTTTTAAATCGGATAACTAGTATTTTATTGTTTTTATCACATGTTTATAGTTTACTGGTATTTTGTTTTTATTAAATTTGTATTTTTACTTTGAGCATATTTAAATGTGTTGATTTTATCTCTGTGCAGCACTTTGGAAACTTGTTTTATAAAATGTGCTATATAAATAAAGTGGATTGGATTATACAGGGGTACACAGGTACGCATGCGCGACAAAAATCAATAATATCACTTGAGTTCACCGATCGTAACATGTCAATTTATTATGTTCACAAGCACGGTGTCAGTCCTGATTTAGTCCTGGTTTAGCTCTCGTTTTGGTTTTTCATTATCCTGTTTTGATCACCGGCTTTTGGCTCCGTGACCACTTGGCTCCTCTCTGTCGTGCTGCCTCTCTTGAGTCGTGCAATGTTTATAGGTTATTATGTTTATATGTTTATTTGCCTAGTAGTCGCACATTATCCGAAGTGAACGCATGTAAGTGCTGCTTAGAACCGCTAGTTGAAGGTACACAGGCAGGTGCATCTGTAGCATATTCAATGTTTGTGTCTTGTTAAATGCTAATGAATGGGAAATGTTTTTTTCAATGTGAGGTGAAAGAAAAAATTAATGAACATGTAACCCATTAAATATAATATAAATATTTGTATTTATGATATAAAAATTACCACATATCAAATATAATATATTTTTATTATGTATTATTATTAAAACTAAATGGTCCCAAATTTCCATTGGGTCTGGCGCCGGCTTGGGAAGTTGAGTTGGGTTTGGGTTTTTTTTTCTTTGGACTTGTGAGCAAATGAAATGAAGAATTCTAATCTGCGCAGCGCTGTATTTGAGAATTTGAGATGTCATGACTGTAAATATGTAAATATGTCATAATACACAAACTTGCAAACTAAAGCCACTGTTTATTGATTACTGACTCACCTCCCAGAGCGAACTCTAGATCTTCAGTCCTAGCCTACAGACTCTTTTACTACTACCATTCCACTGTACAGTATTCGGCCCCCTTGAACCTTTCAACATTTCGCCACATTTCAGGCTTCAAACATAAAGATATAAAATTTTAATTTTTCGTCATGAATCAACAAGTGGGCCCCAATCGTGAAGTGGAACAAAATTTATTGGATAATTTAAACTTTTTTAACAAATAAAAAACTGAAAAGTGGGGCGTGCAATATTATTCGGCCCCTTTACTTTCAGTGCAGCAAACTCAGTCCAGAAGTTCAGTGAGGATCTTTGAATGATCCAATGTTGTCCTAAATGACTGATGATGATAAATAGAATGCACCTGTGTGTGATCAAGTCTCCGTATAAATGCACCTGCTCTTTGATAGTCTCAGGGTTCTGTTTAAAGCGCAGAGAGAACCATGAAGACAAAGGAACACACCAGGCAGGTCCGAGATACTGTTGTGGAGAAGTTTAAAGCCGGATTTGGATACAAAAAGATTTCCCAAGCTTTAAACATCTCAAGGAGCACTGTGCAAGCAATTATATTGAAATGGAAGCAATGGACCACTGCAAATCTACCAAGACCCGGCCGTCCCTCCAAACTTTCATCTCAAACAAGGAGAAGACTGATCAGAGATGCAGCCAAGAGGCCCATGATTACTCGGGGTGAACTGCAGATAACTACAGCTGAGGTGGGAGAGTCTGTCCATAGGACAACAATCAGTCATGAACTGCACAAATCTGGCCTTTATGGAAGAGTGGCAAGAAGAAAGCCATTTCTCAAAGATATCCATGAGAAGTCTTGTTTAAAGTTTGCCACAAGCCACCTGGGAGACACACCAAACATGTGGAAGAAGGTGCTCTGGTCAGATGAAACCAAAATCCAACTTTTTGGCCACAACGCAAAACGATATGTTTGGCGTAAAAGCAACACAGCTCATCACCCTGAACACACCATCCCCACTGTCAAACATGGTGGTGGCAGCATCATGGTTTGGGCCTGCTTTTCTTCAGCAGGGACAGGGAAGATGGCTAAAATTGATGGGAAGATGGATGGAGCCAAATACAGGACCATTCTGGAAGAAAACCTGTTGGAGTCTGCAAAAGACCTGAGACTGGGACGGAGATTTATCTTCCAACAGGACAATGATCCAAAACATAAAGCCAAATCTACAATGGAATGGTTCACAAATAGACGTATCCAGGTGTTAGAATGGCCAAGTCAAAGTCCAGACCTGAATCCAATCGAGAATCTGTGGAAAGCGCTGAAGACTGCTGTTCACAAAAGCTCTCCATCCAACCTCACTGAGCTCGAGCTGTTTTGCAAGGAAGAATGGGCAAGAATTCCAGTCTCAGGCCCGGACGGCATCCCTCCTC